AGAGGCAGCCAGACTGTCAGGGCTTTGACACAGCTGCCCTACTCCCTGCTGTACCGACTGCTCAGCCCCCCGCATCGTCTGTATCCCCCCCTATTTTCTCCCCCCTCCTCACTCCTCTCAAACACATGTCCACAACCCAATTTACCCAGTGCACTCCTCAGTGAACACTGGTGCAACAGTCAGTTGCAAAAGCGCTTAAAAAGGCTGCACAGACTGAGAGAAGAGGGAGGGAAAGAAAGAGATGGAGGATAAAATGGGAAACAAGGGAGGAAGAGCAAAAGGGAAAGACTGGAGGTTGGCTACAGTAGATGGAATTGGGGAGTAAAAGCAATACATACAGTGGGAGGAGAGTGCAAAACAGAAAATGAGAGAGAGGGAGTGATAGCTGTGTCCCCGGAGAGGAATAGAGGAATACGCGTCAACTACAGTAAAGAGACAGATAAAGCCCCATTAACTGCTGCTTCCAGCTGCTTTCTCAGGCTCTGCCACCACATGACTCCCCCTTGATGTTTGTTTATCTTTCTTCTTATTTATTCCCCTAATTGCTGCGTCTCTGCTGTCTAAAACAGGCAGTTCTCGTATCATTAAATACATAGGGCTGACATGAGTTCAGACTGCAAGGAGAACGGACAGACAACAGCCACACGAGTCTGGACACAGATATAGATTGAGCGAAACAATAATTGTGGCGCTTATTAGGTAACGACTTCAGATCGACGATTAGATGTAGAACACAGTGCGAGCAAGCAGACGTGTAGGTGATGCACGTGTGATGTTCGATGAGCTTACATCCATCTCCCAAAAATTACACTTAGAGACGACTAAACGGCTTTTCCTTATGTTTAAGAAGAAGCATAATTGCAGCATGGATTTTCGCTCTCATTATGCAGGGCAGCTTTTATTTTTTGTACCAAGAAACTGTAGGGATATGCTCATGGCAGATGTTAGACAAACAAGGAGCGGAACTTTGACATCAGAGGTAAGGATTCATGTCCTGCATTACATGACCAGCCTGTAGTTACATTTAGGTGATGAAAACAATAGAAAGGCCTCAAATTCAGTTTTAATCATGTGCTACATTTTGAACATGTGTATTTATTCAGTTGATTTTAAAGAGTCAGCACTGTGTTTTGTTTTAAAAGACCCAAAAGACATCACTAAGTTCAATCTACTTCTAGTCATAGATGTGCTGTGTCCATAGAAGTGCAGGACTTCAGTGAAAAATGAGCCAACAGTAAGTAAAAATGTAACAAGAACCAATAAACGCCCCGGAAACTGTTTGGCATTCAAAGGGTTATTTAAAACAATGTCACACAGTCCATACTTTGGTAAGCTCACTGTCAGTTTGCTTCTCCAGGTGTGCACCTGTACTATGAAGCAACACTGACTAACTAAAAGCGCCCCAAATCTAAAATCCTCAGCACTCAAGATTATACCTTGTTGAGTGCCCTGTGGAGATTTGTTGTAAACAAGCAAAGGTTATGTTTTAATTTAGTGTTTCTCAGCGCATCTTTGAGGTCTAACAAAAACCCTTCCTCATTAAGCAATTGCAAAGTCATTTTTTCTTGCTCATATTGTTTACATCCTCCCAATCAGTCTTCGTCTCTGCGGCTGCAACTCTGCTGGGAACACTGTTGCATTATTGCCACCTGTAGGTGAAATGGATCCTGTAAAATTATTGGCGGTAATATGTACTGTGTCATCCACATGTGTGCATGCATGCGGATGCAAACGTCAAACATAACGGAGACCCACACTCCAAAACCTGCTCCGAGTTCCACAGAAACTGAAAGCACCTTTAAGGCACCAAAGCCAACAGCCTGATGAACAGAAACACTGACCCATAATTACACCAGCTAATTAAAACACCACCTTGTGTGTGGTTTCTAATGTAGACTGGAATGAATTTGCATCCTTTATTTCCTCCTGTTCCTAGACATTGTCTCACTCTGCTCTCTCACTCTCTTGCCCTTCTCTGTCTTCTCCTCCGCTCATCTTCTCTCATTTCATCTCCCCCCTCTCCCCCTCTCTCCCCCTCTAAGTAAATAGACAGGGTAGTGATGGATCCAGCTGTCCCGTCTTAACTTCCTTCAGCTCAGAGCTGCTACTCCCACTTTGATGACTTTGCAGCGAAGGCAGACATCTTGCACATTAACATATGATTGTGCCCATGTATTATTTGTGTGTGGAGGGACTGAAGAGAGGGATCGGGGAAAATCCCAGTGCAAGCTGTCATCCAAAAGAGCGAGAGCAAAAGAGACACAGCACTTGAGAAGTCGGAGTGTCACATCATTCATGCGGAAGGAGTGCAAGGCTAGAAGTACTGTTGGTCTTCCTGGCCTGTACTATATGGCAGACGTCAGAAAAGCAGGTCAAGGGGACACCGTGTCCATAAAGTTTCTACTCGCTAGACTGTACGACTGCGTAACTTTTTCTGATTCTGATGAAGTTAACAGAGGTGTTAGCTAAAATTAGGAAGCCAGTGACAGTTCATCAAGATTAATTCACGGCTCCAGATGCATTCATGCAGGCTTTTACATCAGCATATGTCAGCTGACAAAAGCGAGGGCATTTCTCCTGGTACGAGGCAGCCATTAGGCCTGCAAGGCACAAACTGCACAGCAGTGTACCTAGAAAATCACTGTTCTTTGGTATTGATTTTAAACTACAACTCCTAGATCCTGCACTCAGCGGCACTTCCACTTTCAAGATGAGACAGATGAGATTTATCACCGAAGTTGCAGGAGATGAGAAGTAGTGATATGTTCGGCGCTGTCAGTCACTCAATGCAGCCATTAGTCACCATGCCTCTGCTTCTGTGATCTGTTGTCTGTCATCGACGCTCTCAGACAAATGCATCACAATCACATGAAGCAGAAAGAAACACACACACACACACACACACACACACCTGTCTCGCTTGACACACATTCACTCTTGCTCTCACGCAGGCACTATTTTCTCCATGAAAAAGAGATGTTCAATTTCCGTCTTCGCTAAGTGGACAGCTCGTGTCCTTCAGAAAGCATGCAGGAAACAAGGCCTTGTCAGTGGATGGATTCTCCCTGGCACATCCTGTCAGCTCGTTCAGTGATCAGAAAGAAACGGGGGTAATTTATAGGGCTGCAAGCAACAATGTGATATGAGACACAACTCACCGATAGACACTCTAAGTTTCAGTCATCGTTATTTTGTATATGTAATGTTGTGAAACTGGGGTTTTGGTTGACAGGCCAGCATCAACCCCCCCAATAAAAAAAAAATATATATTTTGATGAGAAAGCGCTGTAGATTAGCGAGAGGAAGGAAGATTGAAGTAGTCATCTTGCCTGAATACAGAGGCCATTCTTTGAATATTTGATGCAGACGGATAGCTGTTCACTCCAGTGGAACAAACTGGATTGGAGTCCAGTCGCTCATCTGGAAAAGGCTGTAATTTAAAGTCGTAGCTGCCGAGTGTCCTTAAGATCCTCATTTCCTTCCTGGCAAAACTTCAACCTCTGGATCAGCCCACCTGGGCCCTGCCCTCCGCTGAGGTCAAGTGTGCACACGTGCACGTACACACAGCCGTAAAAACACACACACACACACACACACTCAGATACTTGAATGTCACAGGCAGTAATTGTAAACAATAATTTGCTCCCAAATGGCGGTCTTGGACGGAGAGTCAGCAAATACATTCTTATGTAACCTTTTGAGGGGGTATTCAGCTTACACCCCGCTGTGTGTTTACTTACACTCCAGAGTTACTTAAAAGGAGGAAAAGCAAAAGGCAATATTTACATGTGTTTTGTATGAAAAAGAAATTCTTGTTCATGAATTTAAACATTGAAATGAAAATATTAAAGACATGACACTGAAATGGCTCAAGTATTTGTTGTAATTGTCATCATCATACAGCGTAATCATATTCAGTTACAAAGCTGCAAGTCAAGTTCCTAAAGTTTTATGATTACGTAACTCAGCTCACTATTCTCAAAATAACAACAATTAATAGTTTCTCGCCAATCGTGCAAAATGACCTGTAAAGCTTCCAGGAGCCCATGTTGACCTTTTCCAAATTTTTTGTTTGACTGATCAATCGCCCAGAACCCAAAGACATTCAGTTTACTACCATATGCAATAAAGGGTTAGGGGTTAGGGTTTGGGTTATTTTTTTTTTTTTAATATTCAAATTCATTTTTTGTCAGTTGACTTGGCAATGAATTCACCAAGCGTTTCAGCTCTGCAATCAATCAATCGATCAATCAATCGGGACCTTTGTCGTAACAGTTTGATCCACGTTTGTTCCTCTGCTCAGTCGCTGTGTAAAGAATACAGCTGCTAGTGAAATCAAACAACACAGAATCAGATGGACTGGCAAGTGTACAAACTGTACTAGCAAACATCAAAATAGAAATGGGTGCTGTAGTTCTGCCAGTGAGTTCTGACAAACAACTGAATACATTTGCGACCAAAAAGTGACAAACCTGACATAGTAATGATTCTCAAGGGCATCGCGTGTGATATTTCTAAGTGTCTGTGTTTCATATTGTAGTCTTTTAACTCCGTTTCTGCTTGTCGGACTGTCCTGGTGCACGAACACAACAATGAGGCCTCACGTACAGGATATAAGGACAAACACATGTACAAGCGTAAAGAAAGCTGGTTCTGACAGCTGACTTTTTCTTACTTTGTCGTTTCTTACTCTGTCATTTAGAGGATAAGCTCAGTGAATGATTTACAGGAAACAACACACTTTTTGCACAATCTTGCTTTAATTTGTTTTACATGTATTACTGCAATTCACCAGCAAGAATTTTCTCTCTGCACCTTAATACCCAGTGGTGGCACCTTTATTATTTTTTTAATGTTAGTGTCACTGACTCTACACTTACAACCTGGGTGTAATTACAACTTTCTCCTGCTGCCTTATGTTGAGTCAGTGGGACTCACACACACATACACGAACATTTAATCTCACACGTGTCGACTCTCTGTTCTCTTTCCCCTGTAAGGTGTAAGTGTAACCTCCATGCCTCCCAGTGCCTGCCGATTGATGGGAACCTCCAGTGCCAGTGTGAACACAACACCACCGGCCAGGACTGCCAGCGCTGCAAGAAAGGCTTCAAAGCCAAGTCCTGGAAAGCAGGTTCCTACCTGCCAGCACCCAACGGAACCCCCAACACCTGTACGTACCTGCTTCTGTGTGTTCCTACTGTGTTCATCCAACTGATCAATCTGACACACATTCAAAAACGCTGACTCCTTCCAAACACCTTTGCTATGGATGCCTGTCTGCTTGTTTTATTATAATACTCACGGAGTGTTACAAGCCAAAAAAATACATTCCTATACAACTAAACTACATTTTCATTTGAGAGAAATGCATTTCCTTCCAGAGAGATAAAACTATGATGTCATAGCAAATGTTTCTGGTTTGAAAGAGCCACAAAGTCCACACAAGAAAGCCCGTCTGTAAAGAATGTTTGACCTATGCAGACCGAGGGAATCATCGTGTCCAACCTGGCAAAGCAGCCAACTTGTTCAAAGGATTCAAAGAGCGACAGGTTATCGAATGTTATAGATACCATTCTTACATCATGCCCTCAAATGTAAGTCAAACAAGCAATTTATTTTGTGACAGATTTTTTTTAACCATCTGAGTTTGAAAGGGCAAATGCAGACAATAATATCTGTAATTTTGCATTATCGTTCTAGCTAACTTATCAATGTGGCAAACATCTATACATGCAAACGTAGTGTTCACACCTGTAATGTTTAGTCCGTTACTGTCAGCTGCAAAAAATAAAAAATAAAAAATCAGGCGCTCTCAGGTGTGCAAATCAACAGTACCAGTAAAAAGTAATCAACTGAATTCCTGCTGAAAGAGTTTAATGTTCTGTCATTATTAAACCGTCACTTTTCCTGATGCTTTTGGCTTTTGTTGTGATGTCGTCTCAGTATTGCTAACGATAGATTTAGGTGAGTATCGTATCAAAGTCAGTATTTTGATATCATGAAAACAGCAGCCGGCTCACCACACTTAAGTTTTGTTGACACTCGCTGTTAGGTTGGATATATGAAGATTTCACAACAGTAACTACACGTTAGAAGCTCGATTAGGATTAGGAACCAAAACTGCTTGGCTAAATTTAGAAAAATAGCACAGTTGGGCATAAAATGTGACCCTTTCACAACATGTTCAAAGCTTCTCCCCCATTTTCTGTTTTCAAATTCCAACAGTAAAAGGCAAAGATATGTTGACTAGAAATGATTTGTGATACATCACAAACAGACGTAATACAGGAGAAAATACATTTCCCTCAATGAGAATGCAGTTTGGTCACGTATAAACATAATTTTAGGTAGCTGGGCTGAACATGAAGGCATCTGTGTCATATTAATACAATGTTTTTTAATCCTACTAGTGATGGATCATGACTTATTATCTCTTAAAGTGAATCTACTTGGAGTCATTTTGAATGACAAACTCCACCATTTCTGACTGATGAAGATATAGGTTTTATCTCGACTCTGAGGTCTTGAATGAACAGCCGGATCAAGCGAACAAGCTGAAAGATGGCGAAGAGACGAATGAACTCGCCGAGTCGTCGCCACCTCAGTGCAGAGAGCAGATCAGAGCTGTGACAACCGGGGGACTGTGTGGGGAGGAAATCCTCTTGGAGAGTGTAGCCAGCTACAGTAGCAAGCTATGATAAAATAATAATCTAGGGCAGCCCCTCCCTAGTTTTCTACTTTCAAACAAACACAGACACACTCACATGCACAGCGAGAGACACACACAGAGAACCACTATCAGAGACACACACATACACCTGTACCACCACTCCAGAGAATGGCTCTATTGTCAGGCTTTTTTTTTTGTCATGCCGCTGTTTCCAACCCAGTTCTAATGCTACCGACACACACCTTCACAGCCATCACCAGCCTTTTCAAACTCCTGAATCCCATTAGCGGAATTTAAAAATTAAAATGTTTGCAACTTGCTCGGTTGAAATGCTACACAAAATGGCCATGGCTCACGGAACAGTTTGGTCTCTACAGATTGCATTTTTCATGCCAAGCTGGGTTAACTGTAGGTACAATGTGGGGAAAAAATATGCAAGAAAGGCAAAAAGTTTCGATTTGGGCGTACAGTGAAGTGGTAGCGCTCTCTTAAAACATACATATATGATGAGGAGTTCTGAACATGAGCAGTTTGGGAAGGAGTAAGAAGTTGAATTAGGGAAGATTGGGGGGGGCAGATCCCGTTAGCACTCCAGGACACAGAGGTGGTCCGCAACAAGCCCTTATTTTGCAGAACAGCTCTTTAGCTCTCTCTGCCACCTGAGTCTGATGAATGAGGCAGAGTCAAGTCTTTAGGCAAATCGAATGCATAAATAAACAAGTTCTCATCTCCTCTTCCTTTTCTTATTCTCTTTCAGGTACAATTGCTGGTTCCCCCTCCGGTTCTAGTAAGTAATAATGCAAAGCAAAGCAGAAGAGGTGGTATTTCCACTCTCTTTCTCTTCCTGTCTTGTCTCTCTCTTTCGTTACATTGCTTTTGAAATTTAAGTTTTAACCCCATACATTGCCATCTGTATGTCTGCTAAACCCCCCCTCCTCCTCTCTCCTGTGATGTTCAGCTCTAGTCAGTCATTTCTCTTTCCCTGCGTCTCCTCTCGCAGTGCTGCAGCTTGGGCCCTGTGTGCTTCATTATTAATAGGCCTCTCTGTCGCCATGTCCTTTCATCACAGCACATCACACTAACCTGCACAGGAGGAATTCTTCCACAGTTCTGCTTTTTTTTTTATTTAGACTAAAGACAGTGCTGTTGATGGATTGAAGGAAGGAGGGATGAGAGAGGGCTGTGAGAGAACGGCTGGTGGATGGAGCAGCGAAGGGAGCTGAGAGAGAGAGCGAAAGACAGAAAGAGAGAGAAATGGGAGAGAAGGATGCAGGCATATGTTAGTGTGTTGTAATGCAGTGTGATTCCGGGTGAGGAGCTCGGGGAGGCAGGAATAAAAGGGAATTTGATTAGGGATTCTCTCTGTGGAGAGGCTCTCAGCCTCCGAGCTGTTAGACAGAAACGATCGGCAAAGTGGCAACATCAACCCTGACAGCACTGGGCTTTTCTCCACATGGACCAACAGTAAAAGGCTGATGCATGGATAGACTAAGCAATTGGACTGCACTGCAGAAGCCTGCTTTTAAACGGGCTCCTCTGACAATTAAACACAACTGTGTGGTTATTTGCAAAACCGGTGGGTATGATTTATCAAACAAAATGATCATTCTTGCTAATGGGCTGATTATTGGTTTAGTGGTCCACCTTCTGACTCCCACAGGTTCGGTTTACGTGTGTTAATCAAAATTTCTACCTGTGTAGCTGATTAGCCACAACATCAGCTTCATCTAGGACGTTTACTGCTCCTGCAGATGAAGATAAGGCAGAGGGGGAAACTAGAGTTGAAGCTGAGGGTGAAGCGGAAGATGAAAGCGAAGTTGAAGCTGAAGGTGAAGTTGAAGGTGAAGCTGGAGGTGGGGGTGGGCCCGAGGGCGAAGCAAAGAGAAGTGCAACCATCTCTGAAGCTGAGTCTGCCCCTGCTGTTACCCATGAGTCCTCTGGAGCCTCTAAGAAAGGTGCGGAAAAGTAGCTTAGAAACATCCTGATGTTGAACGAAGCCATTTACTCAGTACTGTAAAGTCTTGAAGCACTTTACTATTTCACTTCACTTTACTATGTTCCAGTGGAAACTCAGTATGTTTTACTCCATTACAGTACATTCATATGGCAGGTGTAATTACCAGTTACTTCTCTATCAACATCTCCTTGACAAAACCATTTTTGTCTGTTACAGAGTCCCGAAAGTCTTATTTTCTTAAAACAAATACGCCTTTGCACACAAGTCATGTCAATGGAAGCCAACTGTTTTTATTCATTTTCTAGAATAGGGTGCATGAGGTCATTTTTTTCTTTATTCTGTCTTCCTTCCTTTTGACACTTATTTCTTCAATATTCCTGGAAGAAATAGTACAGCATTTTGGGACACTGTTCACTACCCAGCAGAGAGTCTGAAGAGATGATTGACACCGCTCTCATTTCTGCACATCAAATATGATGCTGCAGCCAGCAGCCATTTAGCTCAGCTTAGTAGAAAGACTGAAAGCAGGAGGAAACAGCTATCATGGCCTCTATCCAACTATAAAAATCCTACAGCACCTCTAAAGCTCACATTATAATTAACATGCTCTATCTCGCTTGTATAATCTATACAAAAACTGAATTGTGAAATTGATAATTGTTGTTCTTGGGGGTGGTATGTGCCGGACCAGTTCTTGGCACAGTAACTCTTGGAGTCTTAATTGGTTGCCTGACGAGTCCTCAGAGCCAGGAAGCAGTACACTTCGTTTTTCTACAGATTATAACCAGCAAGATGTAATGTGTTGATTTGTGAGCTTTAAAAGGTGCTGTTAAGCTGGTTTTCAGTCTCTGTGCCAGGCTAAGCTAACCAGCTGGTGACTGCGGCCTTAAATTTAGCACTCACATGTGAGTGGTATTGATCTTCTCACTTCTGCAAGAGAGTGAATAAGAATATTTACCAAAAGTTTTGTTTTTTAAGTTCATTTCTATATGAAAGAGGTAAAAATAACACAACTGGGTATCAGTTTTGGATGTTATACCATTTGGTAAGCGTCATCATTGCACAAAGTTCCCACACATGTGAACCAGTAGTGACCTCTTCCACTTTCTTTTAGGCTCTGTAGGCTGTTACCATCTCATTTAATGGTGGTTTAATGGTGACAATCAGCCATGAGACTTGAGTCTGACTCCTGTCTCAATACATTATTAGAATGTTGTTTCTTTGAGTCTCATTTTGACTTCGGCTTTCAATGTTTTTCTGTGTTCATTTGCAATTTCAGTCTGTGTTGGCTGAGTTTAGGCACCAAAACTACTTGGTTAAGGTTAGAAAAGGATCACTGTTTGGGTTGACATACACCCTGTTGCTCCATAGATCAATTTGGTACGTTTTGTTGGTGACGACCCCCATACATGACTGCAACACACTGTATGTTAATAGGGTGATGTTCTGTTTATCGATGATCAGAATGCATTATATTGTGCTTACTGAGTCTACTAGAAAGTGGAGAAGGTACTGGTTTTTGTTTGCAGAGTAAAGAATAATATGATCATTAAGTACTTAAATTAGCTGCTTGACCAGCTAACAAAGTACTGCTTAGGGGGTGAGTGCATATGCAGTAATGTGTCTGTAGATTCATCCAGGTCATGGTAATTCAATGCCGTAGAAGGTGATTATACTTCTGTTTTTTTGTTTCTAAGGTGCAATGTCTTCTAGAACCAGAAAGACGAATCTAGTTGTTGTATACTGAAGCACTTAAGATCATACTTAATAATAACCACATATTAAAAATCAAAAAGGTACTATTATGGAGTTACTGGTGTACTTATATAGGCCAATAGTGTTATGATTATTTAAGAAAGGAAGTGATTTTTTTCCTTCTTTGCTGATCACAGCTGATCAGATGATAAGGAAGCACTGTAGCATGGACTCACTGTACACTTGTGACCAGTCAACTATGTGTGCTTGTGGATGTGCATGACGCTGGGTTTTGTGTGCCTATACATTGTACATAATTCATCCTGCAACTTACAGGAGAGCTTAAGACGTCCATTGACTGTGGGTAGAGATTTTATATATATAAAAAATGACGTTAATGTTACATATGGGTTGTCCCGTCTTGAGAGCAAGGCTGTCAAACTATATAGACATTCAGACTTTATTTGTTCTGACTGACTGATTTTAAGCAGCCCAGGATGGATGTGAACAGATTCTGTCAGCTGCTTCGCTGTACAGTAAAGTGGTCCTTAAAGCCCAGCTCGCCTCCATACTAAAATTAAACCTGCCATTTTTGTAGGCAGTGGACTTCTCATGTTACACCAGAAAAGCACTTAGAACGTGGGAGGAGTTGGGATTTCGGCACCGCTGTAACGTCGTCAGACTTTTCTTTTTGTCTTTAAGGAAATCCATTAAGAGCATTTTTTTGAATAGCACAGCACTTTTGGTGTTTGGCTGACATATAGGGAACTCAAAGAATTCACTGATTAGCGGTGCTTTAGGCGAGGCTGACAGAAGCCTTAACGCTGTATAAACAGAACTACAGTCCTTTGTAAGCCTTTTAAAGTCCACTGTGAAGGACACAAACTTTAAAGAATGCCATGTGTAGACATTTTGTTTATGTTTAGCCATGATGAGATAATAATACCATCACTTACAAGGCTTCAACTAACAACTGTTGTCATTGTAATCACTCCTCAGATTGTTTGTTTTATTAATTTTACAAAATACAAAATATTCAAACAACAATCACAGGAAATGAGAAAGCTAGAAAGAAAGTTTTGCCATAAAAAAAAGACAAATTATTTAATAATCAAAGTTGCAGATTAATTTCTACTATTGCAGGTATAATCAAAAATGTCATATTTAAAGTGGTACTCAGTTATAAACTGTATCTTAAACTCATAAAACTCATAAAATCAATTACTGTTAAATTATTAATGCACAAATCCTAGAAGGCAATATGCTGAATAATTTTTGTTTTTTTTTTAAACCGTATGGCTCAGTTACACCTCTGCAACATCAAACAGTAAGATCATACCTTTGCAGAGTTTTCTTCCGGCTTTCTTTTTTTTTTTTTTTTGGAAATCTCAGGTACAGAGAAGTGTATTTGGCTTGAACCTGACCCTGTTATGAGCAAACCCTTGTTATATGTGTGTGTATGTGCATGTGTGTGCATGTGTGTATGGTTAGATTTATGGCGGGCATATGGTGCAGTTCAGTAAAACCCATAAATCATCTTCATCCCCTCCTTTTCCTCCCGGGGATCTGAGGTCTTAGGTTCCTTTCTCACAGAGCAGCCGCCACTACTGTTTGTACATGCACACACTGATACGTACACGTACAGACACACACATTTTATCATATTGTGTGTCTGAAGGTCCTGCGACTTTAATAACTAGATCACATTATACAATTAGGTCCCTTGAATAATATAACCTGTAATGTCAGTTATCTTCTCTGACTCTCAGCTGTGTTTGAAGATGCATTCAAAGCCTGTGGGTCATTTTAAACGTGTGCAGAAAATCTCGAATTCAACTGTGAACTGCGTAGCGTGCAGCCTGGGATTTCATTTTTGAGTTTTTTTATCCACATAAATGTTGGTTATATAAATCATATTTTTCGGGACCGTTTCCCGGAAATTTAAAAGTGCAAATCCCAGCTTAGCTATTTATTGTGTGATTTTTACAACAAAATCGATGCTAAGTTTCTGACCGCGGTCTGTGCAGCACAAGCAGATGCATCTTCCGCACCATGACAGCGGACTTACGGGTTGAACAGCATGTCATAGTAGTTGCACCCTTTGTCATGTCGCTGTCCCAGTTAAGTCAGTGAGC